TCCTCCCCCCCAAAAAAACAAGCTCCTGTCCTTTCACTGCCTCCGCTGGAAGGTGCCCCCTCACCTCCCAGCAAGTTCAGAACAGCCTCCTAATTCACTCCTGCTCACTCAGCAGCATGCAATATCCCCTAGAGCATGCCCCCACAAAGCTGAAGATCTCCCTTCCCTTGTGTCCCACCCCCTCCAAGTGAAACATCTCTTGACCTCTCATCTTGCTGAAAACAGCACGGCCCCTTGTCCTCCCTCCCAGCTGCCGGGTTCATTTCCTGTTCCTTCCCCTTTTCTTTTTCTTTAAAGGGCGACAACCTTGGGATGTAATCTTTGGACTGACTGGCCCAGGTAATTCAGAATTATTTTACTCTGTTCATCTGATTGCAACTGGATTCGAACTTGGGTCTGTATTTTCACAGTTCGGGGGTGTACCAACTGAGCTACGCTCGTCGGTATGTTCCTTCCCTCCTTTTCATTTCCATTTCTTTTTTTCGAATATTTTGCAGGGTTTAACGAGACGTGCCAAGGTCTTGTCGACATGCACGGTTGAGTGACCTGCACGGGCTGATTTAGCTGTTTCGTCTGTGTTTGGTCGTGATAGGACTCGTCCTGCAAGGTTTGCCGGCCAAAAGGTTGAGAAACTGGGCTATGTGATTATGCCCTCAGAGTCACAGCACCTTTCCCTCCTGTGCGGAGAGATGCATAGTATTGCATACACTGTAATCCTGTTGTTGTTGTTGTTTTCATATACCTCACTTTGTGCAGAACTGTTTAGTGAAGAGGGCATATGTGAAGCAAAATGAAGAACAGACATTGGAAGAATGGGCAAAAGGAAAGCCATCGCAGGCTATAGGTACATAAGATACCCGTTTATTGCCCAGATGAATCTGCCGATTTCTCTGTGTGGTAGAGGAGGAGGAGGCCAATGTGAACCTTCGCTGATCGGGATTTGGTGAGGAAGGGAGTGGTCGATGTCTGCATATAAGGATGGTTGGCGAGGGAGTGGATTACGACAGTACTATTCTGGCGGTTGGTGTAGGAGCCCTGCATCAGCAGGACTGCCCGTGTTTGGATCAGATCGTGGATTGTGGAGATGGTTAGTGAGGGCTAAGATCCGTATGCTGGAGTAGGTTGGGGTCGGAATCTGTATATCAGCGTTCGTTAGCCAGACAGTTCTTAGTCTTTAGCTTCTGTCCTCCGTATGCATGGCTGAGATCGTTATTGAAGCTCTCGTCTTCGACGTGTCCGTGTCCAGCAGAGTTGCCTATATGCATCAGCACTGTGGACTTGGGGGGAAGGAGAGGGGGGGAGATAACGACGAAGATTCGAAAAGCGAGGTGTGATGGCGACCTGGAATGTAAGGATCGGCTTATCACATCGGCTCGTATATGCTTGTATGATGTTGTGAGAATAATAGAGCCCAACATTTACAATGCCCTGTCGGGTCGGAAAACGTGAAAAAGAAAAATGCAGATGATAAAGATCGTAGTTCTCGCACACACACCCACACACACACACACACACACACACACACACACACACACACACACACACACAGACAGAGAGAGAGAGAAGTGGGACTTCTGTTATCTAGGTTGTCCTCCATCTTCACTTCAAGGGTGTGAGTCATTGTGGGTCAGGTTACAAAGAAGTACTACGTGGTCTGCTCTTCAAGGGTGTGACTAACTGCATGCGAGGAGCTGAAAGCAGTGTCTGAGTCATTGCGGGTCAGGTTTCACAAAACTATCTGGTGCGCCGCTTGCTTTATTGCTGACCATGGCGCCGTGTTTTCAACTCTTGTGGGTAAGGACCTCACTGCACCGCTCGCCAAATGCCATTATTCTGAACGAATCTGATCAGGGAATTACTTCGGATAAGCTCAAAATTCTGAACAAATATGAACATGGAATTAGTTCGGATAAGTTCAAAATTTTGAACGAAGGGGAACAGTCTTACTGTGCATACCGGCAAGGCCACACCTTTGGCTTGCATGAACTGGTGGTTTAAACCACCAGTACTTCCTAGAGTCGTGCCCGTTTATGTGCCACAATTTTAGGAAACATACGGGATACTATAGGAGAGCCCAAATTCATCTGACTAGAAACGTTTCTACGCTTTTTTTTCCCGCAGCCGATAGATGGGCCAAGTATTAGTGGTTTAACTAGACACGACCTTTGGGGTTTGCGGCCGCCATTGATGGATTTCATCAACGGCTGGCCAAGCGGCCCAACTCCCCGAAAGTCACTGTGCCGTCCACGGTGGTATACTGGGGCAAGTACGGTGGTTTTAACCACCAGTGCCTTTCCACACTTGAAAACAAATGCCCGCCAGTTAACACAGGAGCCGGGTGGGTTCGGCACTACTGGCGGAAAACGGCTGGTGGCGCTGCTTCGTGTTTTTTTGGCGTGCAGGTCTATTTTAGGCTCGACACCTGTAGCTGACAAAGGTCCTGGCGGTTTAAGCTTTTGCCTGCGGTTTGAAATTTGCTTTCTTGAACCAAGGAGTGAGGTAGGGTGGGGTGACGGTGTGGAATGGAGTAGAAATATGGTATAGTGGGAGGAAGGTTGGGGTTGTAAGGATGGCTCTGAAGATGGTATGGGGATTGACACCTAAAAGTTGTCCCCTCTCCCTCGAAAAGATTGGAAGGATACCGCTTGTGAAGTCTTCTGTGAAGGAGTGTTTGTGAATTCCTGTTATCCGTTGAAAACAGCATAATAGGCTGCGGTGCCTGGATTGAGTATGGTGAATGTGCTTGCCATGAAGTGTCTCCGCAGGGATTGACACCGAAGCTGCGTCCTTGGCAGAAGGGAGATGTATGCGTGTGCAGTGAGGGGAAGGGCGTTGACATCAAAGATGTCTCCGCACCATGGGAGAGGAGAGGTGGTTGAAAGGGGCAGGGATTCACACCTAACCGCTCCTACCCTAAGGAAGAGACAAGGTTGTTGAAGAGTAAAGGGGACGGTTTGGAGGATGTCCACAGACTAATTTCTGGTAAAGAAACAGACAATTGGGGCACAAGACATAGGGTTGGGAGGGAGGATGAAAGGGATTGGCGCCTCAGCTGCCTACCTTCAATTGGGGATAGACACCTAAGGTGGTGAGTTAAGTCTTCCCTGTTGGGAAGTAATCAATGCTGACCGGAAATATTGTTTTCTATATAAATGGGATGCTTGGGCCTGGTTCCCAGCAGTTGTTGTCCCCCCTAACAAATAGACCCTATAGATCTAGGCCGTTAAAAAATGAAAAAAGAGGGCTTCTTATACGAGCTTATCATATGCACCCCCCTGTCTTTAAAGTTAAACTCCATTGACTCTGACTTTGTGCATGAAGACATCTTGTAGCGGGGTGAGTGCCAGACCAGTGGATACTCACAGAGGCAGCACACATTCTTTTTGTACAAGCTGTTACCAGGCTTATGACCTGCGTTGCCGTATTTTTCTCATCGTACAGCTTGGTATATTTGATGATGACTTCCTACTTCTCGAGTGCAGCGACACTCCACCCTTGCATGAAGACACGCACTGCTTAACACGGGGTAGGGTGTTAGCCGCTAAGGAGTTCTTAGACCGGTGGAAACACACACTGGAGGCATACAGGCTTCACCAGGCCGATTGCCTCCATCCCGCTTGTCATGTAAGTGCTGCTCAAGCAAAGCGCTGCTCTGGCTGTGGACAAAGACGTGCAGATAGGGTGATGATTGCTACGCAGTTGGTAGACGCACCCAGGAGGCTCACATGCTTCCCGTATGAGCTGTTTCCAGACTTGTCACCTCTGCCCCTCTTTTTCTGCAAGTTAGACTCCATTGCCGTTGACTGTGATTTTTTGTTCTGCTCAGACAGATTGGTGGTCTGCTTGTGCCCAGAGACACGCACCACTGGACGCACAATAGCATGTTAGGCGCTACAAAGTTGATAAACCAGTTGGATACACAGAAAGGACGCACACATGCCTCCCACATGAGCTATCACCGGGCTTGTCACACTCATCTCGTGTTTTACCCAAGTTAAGCTTGGTGGTCTATGACGGCGACTTTGTTCGGCTGAAGGGGGGTGGCGCTCTACCTGCACACAAATGCAAGGAACATGAGTATGGACGAAGCACAGAAATCTAGAATGCAAAATCACACTGAAGTCCAAGAAGTCAAAGCCAAAGCAGATAGCGCATGAAACCGAGTAACCATCCAATTGAGAATGATATAGAAGAATCGTGAGTCAATGTCCAGGCCCAACAGGGCAACACCAACAGCATAACCCAAATGTAGCTCTCTCTTGTGAATGGCGCCAGGCGCCCTATCNGCCCTATCTACTCTACAGCTATCCTACAACTACAACAATGAAAAGCAACCAGACAACTTGACTACCAGCGAGTGATGATGTCAACACCAATGCCGACCTCACCCTTCACCAGGTACGTGTCCTCTTCCCCACACTCTCCCTTGTTACCCACACAGCGCCCTTCACCTCCGAAGTACCACCTTCGCCCTCACCTCCCCTGCACCCTCATGCGGCCCGGCTATGGCCGCCAGTGCCCTGCGTGCAGGCAGCGCCCTACCGCCTAGCGCTGGCCTGCTTGCTCTTAGTGCAGCACTGCCTTGCACAGCGCAGCACACATGCATCCGCGCAGCGTGCCCGCAAGTGCCAGCATTGGCCAAGATGCCTGCTGCCTCGCCCTGCTTGCCTATATGCCAATGCAGCGTGTGGGCGGCTTCCCTTCAGCCTGTGACCCTTGCCTAGAGGCTGAAGCCAACCCGATACAGTTGGGCCCCGGGGCAATGCAGTTGCGCCTCCTTCATCAAGGCTTGCGGCCAGATTCAGACAGTGGGCCGATTTCCCTTTTGCATTTTCGGCCTCTCTACCCAGCGTGCATTGTCGGCCTCACGTTCAAGTGGCCAGGGCCTAACTAACTCAGAGGCCCTGGGCATTTCAGCATTTGCTGAAATCCGAGACTCGGTGCACTCCAACCAACTGGCGTGCTGCAACTGTATAGACCCCACTTCGTGAAATGTTGGCATAGAGGGCTCTTGTTGATTTGCTGGCCTGCCTTCACTTAGGGCGGGCACTAGGCTTGCTGGGGCCTTAGCCCAGAACATGTACATCATGGCAAGGCCCCTACTTGAGGGCTCAATCCTCACATTCCATCCCCCTTAGCTTCGAAAGTCCGCTGAGATGCTTACTTCGCAAGTGCCTTCCCTTTTAGCTTCCGTTCATAATCTGGCACCACCTGAGGAGCTGTTTCCATCAGTTCCTCCCGGGTAAACCACCGATCTTCTTTAGGATTCGTATGATGCCTGAATCTGATCCGGTACTCCCTCTTGGGTTTAGGAGGTCTTCCTCGACCCAGCGGCTTCGGAACAGGCATATCCCTGTGATCCACAATGTCGTCGATGTCGACTTGTCCATCCATGGTTGGGGGCAGCATCGATCTCCTGGAAGGGAATTGATCAGTCTCAGCGAAAGGTGCAAGCTTTGAGGCATGAAAGACTGGGTGAGTGCGTAGATGACCAGGGACACGAATGACGTACGTAGGACCATCCATTTCATCTCCCACTACATCCAAGACTTCCCGGGGACCAAAGTACTGAGGCATTAGTTTGCGAGATATTCCGAATTCCTGTCCTAACTCACTAGCCTTGACCCAGACACGTTCCCCTACTTGAAATGTGGACTGCCTGCGATGTTGATTCTCAGAAGCAATCATGGCTTGCTGAGCTTTCTTCATATGTTCAACAGCCTCTTGCAACAACTTCTCATATTGCACACCGTATTCAAGTGTGCCTGGAGTTGCAGCAGGTCGGTTTTCAGGTAGGAGGAAGTCTAATGCTGATTTACGCTTCCATCCTAAGTGCAGCTGGTTAGGACCTAACGCCGGTACTGCTATGTATGGCATTGTTGTACAGGCTGGCGATGAGAGGTAACTGCTCATCCCAGTCATCTTGGCTGGGCTTGATGTAATGCCTCAGCAAGTGCTGTACAACTCTATTCATCTGTTCGGCTTGTCCGTTGGCTTCGGGATGATTCCCTGAAGTCATTTGAAGTTGACTGCCCATCTGTTCCGCAGTCTTCTTCCACGACTCACTTGTAAATCGGACGTCTCGGTCACTAATGATGGTCTTTGGTAAACCAAAGTCCCTTACCCAGTTGTCTTTGAACAACTTGATGACGCATTCTGTCCTGGCTGCCTCTGGCATTGGTATTAGTCTAGCGTACTTGGTGAATCGGTCAATGATGACGAAGATGTGCCTCTTACCACTCTTGCTGGTCACAAGAGTGTCCATGAAATCCATGGAAACACTCAATCCTGGACCATCAGGAATAGGTAAAGGCTTCAATAACCCAAGCGGAGCTTGAGTTCGCGGCTTGTCCCGCTGACAGACCTGACAGGTCTCAACATACTTCTTTGCGTCATCTAACATTCTGGGCCACCAAAATCGCTGTACTAAGTTAGCACTCGTCTTCTTGTAGCCAAAGTGCCCAGTTGCGTCATGACATTCTCCTAAAAATAAACTACGCAACTGTTCACTAGATGGAACTACCAATCTCTTTACTCCGGCCTTATCAAGATAGATTAGCCCATCCACCATCACAAACTCACTTTCGGTGGCCTTGTCTTTTGCCTGAAGTTTGCGGATGATGTCCATCGTGACAGGGTCTTCCTGATAGGCTCCCACCAATGATTGAGTTACTTCATTAGATACGCCAAATTCAGAAACTAGCGCACCTAGGTAGTCTGCTCTACGGGATAGTGCGTCTGCAACCTTRTTGTACTCTCCCTTCAGGTACTCWAGCTTGAAGTCATATTGGTCTATGACCTCAATCCATCGCTTGAGTGCATCAGAAAGAGCCGGTTGAGTCTTGATCCRTTTGAGGGTCTGATGATCAGTCCTCAGATAGAAGAACCTTCCCAAAAGGAAGTGTCTCCAATGGACAAGTGCCTTGTAGAGAGCATAGWGTTCCCTTTCGTRGGTRGACTTAGCCARCTTCTTCGATGGMATCTTCTTACTTATGTACTCAATCGGTCTCAACTTTTTCCCATCCTGCTGAGCCAGCACTGCGCCAATGCCGTATTGGCTTGCGTCAGTGGTCACTATGAATGGCTTCTGCGGATCGGGAACCATGAGAACTTCATGATTCATGAGTGCATGCTTCAATCTCTTGAAAGCACCCTCGCACTCATCACTCCAGTCCCACGGTGTGTCAAGTCGAGTTAGATTAGTCAAAGGAGAGGCGACTGTAGAATAGTTCTTAATGAAGTTTCTATAGTAGTCGCACATTCCTAAGAATGACCTGACCTCAATGACTGTCTGAGGTCGTGGCCAGTCTCGAATACTAGCCACCTTCGCATCTTCCGGCCTAATCCCCTCCGCGGATACTTCATGACCCAAGTATAGTATCTTAGTGCGGCCAAACTCGCACTTCTCTAAGTTGACCTTATACTTGTGTTGTCGTAGGAGTGAGAGTACAGTCTCAACATGTTGTGCGTGCTCCTCGACAGACTTACTAAAGATCAGAATGTCGTCTAAGTAGACCACGATAAACTTATCTAAATGGTCATGGAAGATGCGATTCATAGCGTGCTGGAACGTACCCGGCGCATTACAAAGACTGAAAGGCATCACTACAAACTCATACAAACCATATCTATTCTGAAAAGCTGTCTTGTGTTCGTCCTCAGATCTTATTGCGATCTGGTGATATCCGGATTTCAAGTCTATCTTTGTATAGTACTTGCATCCCTGCACCCTATCCAATAGGTCGTCTATGCGAGGTAGAGGCTCTGCGTTTTTCACCGTGATGGCATTGAGGCCCCTATAATCATTGCACATCCTCAAAGTACCCCCCTTCTTCGGTACGAATAGCACAGGTGATCTGTAAGGGGAAGTACTAGGCCGAATCCATCCCTTCTCTGTCAGCTCCTTTAGTTGCTTCCGAAGTTCATCTAACTCGGCAGGGGCCATCCTATAGACCCTTCCCTTTGGGGTCTTACTCCCTGGAATGATTTCTATAGCGTGGACGACTTCCCTATCAACAATTCCCGAGGGCTCTTCGAACAGATCGGGGAACTTAGCAACGACGCGTTCTATCTCTGGGGGTGTTTTAACGGCCTCCCTCTTCTCAGAGACATAAACAAGGTACATACCCTCCTCTTGGTTTTGCTTGTAATAGTTATAGAATGTTGATGCGCACAAGCAGCCATAGATATCTACAATACTACTGGCTTTGAACTTAGTCAATCTAACAGTTCGACCATCGGGCAACTTGTATTTGAGCACCTTCTTATCCCAGTCGAATTGGGGCTCAGCAACTTCGAGGTAGTACATGCCTAACAACATATCGAATGGCAAGTCGTCGCTAACCAAGAACGAGATCTTATGGTTAAGCTCACCTCCTCCATAGGAGAAGGTACAGACTACGTTCTTGATGTAGTCTGTTACAATCATGCGCTCCTTGTTGGCCAAAGTAGATGCTACAGGTCTACTAAGGTGCCATACCCGGTCCTGTAGGTGCAGCCTTTCCAAACAGTCGCGACTTATGTAATTCCGCGTGGAGCCAATGTCTATGAAGGCACCATATTTGCGGCCTCCTACATCGACTTCCACCACGAAATGTTCCCCTCTACGACCTTTCCTCAGTGCCACCCAAGACTCGCGAGGGTCCTTGTTTGACCACTCACTCTCTACTTCCTCTAAGGCTTCAGACACATCTAACGTACAGAGCATAGTTTGGTCTAGTTGTGTCTGCGGGGTGACTAAGGGGTCATTAGTCGTGGCCTTGTCATGAAGTAGGGAGGGTATCAATCCTACTTCATCTTGAGTAGAAGCAACTACTACTTCCACTGGCTTCACGTGTTTCCCGAGCTAGAAGCCTGGGTATAAGTTGCCCCTACTTTTGGCGCAACCTTTTGTGTAACCTTAGCGTTCTGACACTTCCATTGCATGTGTCCGTATTCTCCGCAGTTGATACAAACGCCACACATTCGGCGGTCACGCCACACGTCTTGATCAAGATCTGCCTTTACCCACTCAGCCGGTTTGGTCTGATTGGAGGCGGCCTTCCCTTGACCCCTAGGCTGGCCCTTTCCTCGGCCTGCCGCCTTAGTCTTAACTACCGCGGCGAGGGTGCGACCCTCAGCTACCTCCTCGCCGTCATACTCTGAGTAGTCCATCAAGTCAGGGAGCTCATCAATCTCAGTTTGAGTCCCATCAGACTCAACCATCATCAACTTCGCCCCCTTCTTCTTCCACTCCTGAGGACTCTTCTTCTTCTTTGAGTCATTTCCTGAGGTGGGTTGAGCATTGCCTAGTGTGGCCTCTAAGTCTAAGGCTTTCCTAGACAATGTCTCAAACGTGTGGTACTCGGTGCGTGCCTCACTGGCTAGCAAGTTCCTCATGTTCTCARGAAGACATCTAACAAACGTRGTTAASAGGAACTGGTYACTGTARTYGATGCCTGGGAYGAGGATCAGGCTCTCRACGGTAGTCGTAAGCTCYCTAACTGACCTGAACTTGCGTTGGTCCAGTTTGTTAATGGCATCAGTGGTCCTTTGCGCCTCCTGTGGATTATGCCATCGAGCTTCTACCATTTCCATGAATTGGTCTAGAGTCAAAGACTTAGCCCAATCCGCCATGCGTCGCCCATACCCAGCCTTCACAACTACACCATCTAACCATTTGGCTGCCTTACCCTCTAGATAAGACGCCGCAGTTACCACTTCGTCCTCAGGCAAGGTCCTTTTGGCCTTCACCCAAACCGGGACTGTCCTCAACCATGTGTTGAGTTCTTCGTCCTTTCTCTCGCCTGAGAAGGGAAGAGGCAGTTTCATTGGGGTCTTGGGGTACCATTGACCTTGCTGCTGTCCAGATTGCCGAATAGGTTGTTGTGGTAATGTAGCAATCACCGCCGGACCCGAAGAAGAAGATGCAACAGTCTGTGCTGTTGCTGCAGACGTACCACTTGGCTGTGTGCCAGCTTGTACGACAAAGGGACCTGACATCGCCGTTAACGGCAACGACGATTGTGCTGGTGGCCGGAATCCTGGGTTTGTCAATGCATCCAGGATTTGGTCCAAAGTGCTTTGCATGAAGTCCATCCTGCTGTCTACGTGCGCATGCAGTGACAACATGTTGTCCCTCAACACTTTCAGGGTGTCAGACAAACTCGATTCGTCCAATCCCTCTAACGCAGCCTTGTCAGCCTCTAACGTATCAAGTCTGGCCGCTCTACTTTTTATCTCTTTTTCTCTATCGGTTGCTTTCTTCAGATCCTCCTCTAACTGCTGGCAGAGCCTCTCGACCTGTTGGATCTCCCTGAGCTCCCTCTCACGCGGGGTCAACGGGCTGAACTGCGAGCCCGCCATCTGACTAGAAGATTGTCTAGACCTTGTTGAACCGGAAGTGCCCGAGGAACTTGTGGAACTCAGTGGCATTCCCAAATGAGTCCCACTAGTCCTTGACGAGGACGCAGACGTTGATGCAGCAGAGCTTGCGCTGTTAGCCATTGCTGCTGCTCTGGCTGCTGTTGCCTTCTCTCTAGCTGCTGCGTTTGCTGCGGCTATCCCCGCTGCTAGAGCACGGGCTCTACGTTCGGCACGAAGCCGTCTTTCTTCTCCCTCGTCTAAGGTCCTGAACACGTGCGGAACCCTTAATGCTTCCGAACGTGTAAGTCTCCTGCTGTCAGCTCTATCATCACCAGGATCTGACCCACTCATTAGTTAGGCAGATAGTGTCTACACTAGAATCCCCTAATGGAATCCTACCGCAGCATGTATCTGACCGGCACGTAATTTTCTACAAATAGTTGTGTTCGGCGAGTTCCCTACTGTACCGAATCAAGTGGCATTCTACAACATTCACACAAATTGTCTACATAGTCTAGATGCACCCTGAATGGTTCACTTACAACAACATTAGTTAGTACTGGCTATGGTAGCATACAACAGTCCTACACTAATCTGTCTGTGAGGTTAGCAGTCCGTCAACCAACTAATCAAAGGTACAAAAAGACAATGTAGCAGATGTATGATTGATGGGTATGGTTGTGTATACAGTTGAGCACCAATTGGAATCTACCCTTCCCCTCAATCCAACCATCCGAACAGCATCATTGAGCAAGCAGTGTCTTCGTGTGTGTATCGACCCACCCCTGTGCCCAAGTTGTCACCGAGCAATCCAGCCCAACCACTCTTATTTACCCTCGTACGGCGACGAGCCTTCCTGTCCATGTGATCTGGCTGATCAGGAGGTATTTATAGAGATCCCCCATCTCTTCAGGAATTCTTTAACGTCGCAGTCAGGACGACGATCACAACCAGATCCACAATGAACTCCCAACCAGAAATATTTATAGACGGTCTGGTAAGCGTTTGTCATGGGCTGGCACACCCGGAGCAACTTCTATTTGGCGCAGCAAAGTGCCTAATTGGACAGCAGCCATCGCATGTGTGACCTACTCCCATTGGGTTGGCATGGTGACCGTGACCCAGTGCTTCGACCAGGGCCCTTCAGAGGCACCGCCCTTTCTCCTTCCAGATGCTTCCGGGAAGATTGTCGTCTCTCAAGGTAGCGCGCTCACGACACCTCACCAAAAGAGAGGACTCTCAAGTTGGACTCACTTCCTCACGGTAAGAAGAGATTGAGAGAGTAGATAAGGTAAGGGATCAACATACCTGGAGATAGCTGCCCCCAACCACAAATTTTCTCACCAATTCACCTGATGTTGCATTTGATGACCGGTCATGACCTCGGTACCACCCACAACGCAATGCAGTGCCACCTTAGTCCAATGCCACATTAGCATGCTCTCATCATCAATCAAACATTCCGCTGTATCCCACGGCATACACTGCCGTAATAGCCTTCCGGTGCACCCCTCTCTACCTAGGGCGTGCACCTATCAATGGCCTGACGTCACAAGTACCCACTGCGAAGAAGCATCATCAACGCACCAAGTCTGTATAACGCCAGCATGCCGAAGGTAAGTGGCGATCAAACCAGCTCCGATACCAAATTGCAAGGAACATGAGTATGGACGAAGCACAAAAATCCAGAATGCAAAATCACACTGAAGTCCAAGTAGTCAAAGCCAAAGCAGATAGCACATGGAACCGAGTAACCATCCAATTGAGAATGATACAAAAGAATCGTGAGTCAATGTCCAGGCCCAACAGGGCAACACCAACAGCATAACCCAAATGTAGCTCTCTCTTGTGAATGGCGCCAGGCGCCCTATCCTACAACTACAGCAATGAAAAGCAACCAGACAGCTTGACTACCAGCGAGTGATGATGTCAACACCAATGCCGACCTCCACCTTCACCAGGTACTTGTCCTCTTCCCCACACTCTCCCTTGTTACCTACACAGCGCCCTTCACCTCTGAAGTACCACCTTCGCCCTCACCTCCCCTGCACCCTCATGTGGCCCGGCTATGGCCGCCAGTGCCCTGCGTGCAGGCAGCGCCCTACCGCCTAGCGCTGGCCTGCTTGCTCTTAGCGCAGCACTGCCTTGCACAGCGCAGCACACATGCATCCGCGCAGCGTGCCTGCAAGTGCCAGCATTGGCCAAGATGCCCGCTGCCTCGCCTTGCTTGCCTATATGCCAATGCAGCGTGTGGGCGGCTTCCCTTCAGCTTGTGACCGGGGCCCAGGACGCAAAGAAGTGGGCATCCAGTCTTATCCTATGAATGGAGAAGTGGTTGAACGTGCAGTAGCTAATTCTGGTCTTGACATACAGTTGGGCCCCGGGGCAATGCAGTTGCGCCTCCTTCATCAAGGCTTGCGGCCAGATTCAAACAGTGGGCCGATTTCCCTTTTGCATTTTCGGCCTCTCTACCCAGCATGCATTGTCGGCTTCACGTTCAAGTGCCCAGGGCCTAACTAACTCAGAGGCCCTGGGCATTTCAGCATTTGCTGAAATCCGAGACTCGGTGCACTCCAACCAACTGGCGTGCTGCAACTGTATAGACCCCACTTCGTGAAATGTTGGCATAGAGGGCTCTTGTTGATTTGCTGGCCCGCCTTCACTTAGGGCGGGCACTAGGCTTGCTGGGGCCTTAGCCCAAAACATGTACATCATGGCAAGGCCCCTACTTGAGGGCTCAATCCTCACACAAAGAAACACACCAGGTAAACCATGGCTGCCCCCAAGAACTCCTTTGTGCAGCTTTTTGCAAAATGCTGAATGCACCAAGTTCGTTCTCAGAATAAACAGCGAAACAAGTTCGGAAAACATTAACATAGGCTGAGTGCTGAACTTTTCGGAAAAAAAGAAGAAAGATGAAAGAAATCTCTTCATTGCAAAAAAGTGCTGGTTGCAAAAGAACACATGTGAGCGTACTTGCAGACTGTTGGATACACTCGTAACAATCACATAGTAGGTTTTTCTCAGGAGCCATAGTCGGGCTTATCACCTGCGTTCTTCTTTTCACCCAAGTTGAGCTTCATTCTTTTATAACACGCTTTTTTTTTCTCTCAAACGGAATAGCATACCTGAAGACAAGCAACGCTTAAAAGAACACCAGTAGGACAAACCCTAAATTGTTGGGCCAATCTTTTGTGCTGAAAAAAATCAAACCGGTCCCTGCCATGCCTGTACGTTGAAAGCATGACCCTGAAAGGATTTCACACTGCAACATCGGGAGTCCCAGATGGTCATGGTCGCCCTAGGTCCCATAGACCGAGTTCAAGGCTAGGGTTTGTAGGTGCGGTAGGCTGTAGTTTGAAGCGCTGTAGGTCAAGTCCAACCGGTACTGGAAAGTCAGGTCGTTTGAAGTCCAGTCCCGTACTCGACGACAAAAGTCCTGTCCCAAGTCCAATTTTGCAGCAGACAGGCCGCGCACGACCGGTACCGGCGTGAAGCAGACCAATCAAGTCCAAGTTCCTATTTATAGCTGCTATAGTGCAACACTCCTGTCAATTGTTCATTGGCAAAGTTGCGGAAGTGCTGCTGGCTGATTGTGCGACCGCGCAACCTGGGCCATATGCACCTGGAGGAAAAAGAAGGCGCCTTGAAGACTCCATAGCTAGGGTTTCGTAGCGAGGAGGGTGGCCATAGCTGCCAAGGTTGGAGTCGAGTTTGAGTGGGTGTATTCAGGGTTACGATCTAGGTTAGCTGAGTGTGCGAGGCCAAGTGATACAAGCATATATATATATATATATATATATATATATATATATATATATATATATATATATATATATATATATATATATA